GGAGGCTCTTCCACCTGTACTTCCGCCCTATGTTCCTCCAACAGGGCACTCAGCATATCATGACCTCCCGTCTCCCGCCCATACCTCACACAGTGGCGTCTCGTCTCCTACTGACTATGACCAGCCAGACTTTCCTTGGTCGGAGGAGGAGGATCTCCCCCCGGACCCTTCTCCACCTGGAGGCCTCGTCAACCTGGCCCTTTTTCTTCCTTTGCTACGCAAGGCCACCACCACGGCCAATATAGGGGTCCGATCAGTTTCCTCAGCTGCAACCTCCGTCCGATTCGAACCCAAACCCGGTGTTCTTCGAGACAGTGGCAGCCCAACATCATGTCCCTTGCCCTTCGATTTTCCTGAATGGTGTTCGGAAACAATGGGCTTCACCGGTTTCCTTCCCCTTCATGGGAGGAACAGATAAAAAATTGTTTAGTACTTCACCAGATCTATCTGATGCTCTTGAAGTACCAAAGGTGGACGAAGCCTGGACTCCCTTTGTATCCTCGTCCGCGGTCTCCGCGGACATGGCCGAGGCACTTAAGTCAGAGGGCAGGAAATGGGACCTGACCTTCCGCAAGACTCATCAGGTGGCTGCGTGGGCGATTAAAACGGCCACATGCACTTCCTTTTTTATCAGGACCTCCCTCTTATGGGTTCGCCAGCTTCAGGCCAGGTTCCCTCCAGAGGACATATGTCCCATCAAGATTTAAGCAAACTGGTTGCAGCGACGGAATATGTGTCGGACGCAACCTTGCGGTCGGCCAACTTTGCTTCCAGATCCATAGCAGCCAATGTCACGGCTAGACGGATGCTATGGCTCAAACACTGGCAGGCCGACGCCAAGTCCAAATTGTGCCTAGCGATGCCTCCCTACCAAGGAGGCCATCTATTTGGGGAGGCCCTGAATCCGTATTTAGTGGAGAATAAGGACAAGCGGAAGGTCATGGCCCATCTCATCAAAAGATCTGACAGACTACTTATGGCCGGAGCAGTCCTTTCGGCCAGCATCGGGCTCGGGAGCCGTCCAGCCTCCCCACCCCTTCACGCCCAGACAGGACTGTCCATACGACAGATCAGGCTTTAGACCCAGACAACAAAATCAGAGCAAACGGCCATTTCAAGGGGGAGGTCGTCCATTCAGGAGGTCCAAGTGACTCTCGGACCATCCCTCCCATAGGTGGCAGACTATCCCTTTTCTTCCATCAGTGGGAACTCACCACCACAGACACCTGGGTCTTGCAAACCATTCAATTCGGCCTGTCCCTCGAATTTGTGTCCAGTCCTCCGGGCCATTTCATCTCCTGTCCCCTGTCTCGGGACTCAATCAAACAGAGTCTTATGCAAGAGCCCATTCGTCATCTTCTGTACATATAGGCCATAGAACCGGTGCCGCCGGATCAGAAGGGAAGGGGATTCTATTCCATCCTCTTCGTGGTCCCCAAAACCTCGGGGGGATGGAGGGCAATTCTAGACCTCAAGGGTCTGAATTACCACATTGCATAGAAAAGATTCAAGATGCAAACGCTCCAGTCCATCTTAGGAAGCATCAGAAAAGGAGACTTTCTGACGTCTATAGACCTCACGGAAGCGTATCTCCACGTTCCCATCCTTCCCGACCACCGGTGGTTCTTCAGGTTCTGCTACATGGGCCATTACTTCCAGTATGGGGCCCTCCTGTTCGGTCTTTCCTCTGCTCCCAGGGTGTTCACCAAGATCCTGGCTGTGCTGGCCGCACATTTTCAGAAGGTACCGGTACACGTTCAGTGCTACCTGGACGACATTCTTATTCAATCGTCCTCCCTCCGGGTGGTCCAGTTTAACTTAGCGATCCAGGTCCTTCAACAGCACGGGTTCTCGGTGAACTTTCAGAAGAGCCAGACGGTTCCCTCGACCCGACTCCTCCACCTGGGGGCCATCATAGACACTGTAGATTGCATGGTCTATCTCTCCCAGGAGCGTCTGGACAGCATCAGAGACCTGGCTCGCCGAGTGTACAAAGACCGCACTGTCTCACTGGCCCTACTTTCCCAACTCCTGGGGAAGATGGTCTCTTGCATAGCCATAGTACCCTTGGCCAGACTCCACTTACAAAGCCTCCAATGGTTCCTATTCCCCTTCCAGCAGTTGAGCGTCTAGCCGACAGTTAAGGCTTCCTGTCCAAACTCTGAGGTCCCTTCGCTGGTGGTTCTCACAAGTGGTAGCCAGGGGGTCACTGTTCAAGGAGCCTGACTGTCTTACAATTACAATGGACGCCAGTCTGTTCAATTGGGGGGCTCACCTCCGGTCTCAGTTTGCACAGGGCCGTTGGTCCCACGCAGATTTGAGACACAATATCAACTGGCTGGAACTCAGAGCCATACACCTAGCTCTTCACCACTTCCACAACCAGGTTACGAGACGACACATATTAGTCCTTAAGGACAATGTGGTGGCAAAGGCCCACGGCAACCGGCAAGGGGGTACCCGGTCCAAGTCCCTCATGTCCGAGGCCCAGTTACTGGGCTCCTGGGCAGAGTGCAACCTGTCCTCTCTCAGGGCCGAACACATTTCGGGGGAGAAGAACCAGCAAGCGGACTTCCTGAGCCGATCCACCGTAGATCACTTGGAATGGAGTCTGTATCCGGATCTCTTTGCCGAGATGTCACAAAGGTTCAGTCAACCGGTCCTCGATTTGTTCGCTTCGCCAAAGAATGCTCAGTTCCCGAGGTATTTTTCCCGCTTTCACTCCCCGGGGTGGAGGGGACGGATGCCTTGCAAACTCCATGGCCGGAGGGGCTACTCTACGCCTTCCCTCCTCTCCCATTGATCCCGGCGACCATTCGCAAGCTGCTGCAGGAGTGAGCGGAGGTAATCTTCGTGGCTCCATGCTGGCCTTGGAGACCCTGGTTCACCGACCTGGTGAATCTCTCCCGTTCTCCCCCATGGAAGATCCCCCGTATTGTGTGTCTCTTCACCAGGGGGTTCTCCGGCACCCAGAACCTCAGTAGCTATAGTTAGCCGCCTGGCACTAGCGCAGAATCATGACCCAGGAGTCGTTTTCAGCCAGAGCGATTTCCATGATTCAGGCCTCTCGCAGGCCGGCGACCAATCGCATCTATGACTCCATATGGAGGAATTTTTGCCATTGGTGCGGAAGGCGGCAACTGGACATCTCGGAATTGACAATCCCTCAGATCATTGACTACCTTCTTGATGGCCTGGATAGAGGCCTAGCCTGCCATCATCCGTAGACAGGTGGCGGCCCTATCAACCCTACTTACCTGTGCCAATTCGATTCCTCTGGCTCACCATCCCAGAATACGCGCCTTTCTAAAGGGCGCCAGTTTGTTCCTTTATTATACCCATCTTTGCATGAAACGTTCCCTTCATATCTCCAATTTTCTTGAAGAGATCTCTGGTTCTCCCTATTCCTCTTATGTCAATATAAATTCCTTGTTAATACAACATTATAGCCCAATAACCTTTTAAAGAAAAATGAGATATATATAATGTGGCAAATAGCAGTTGTTTATAGAAATATGGATGTCACAGGTTTATTTCATATTAATTCTTTGTGGCATCTATACAGTTTTTAAAAGTTGTGTGTATTTGTAGAGGATCTATTCTTCCTTAGTAAATATGAACTACTCTTTAAAATCAACTATGCTTTTTAACTGCACTGAAGTTGATTGTGACATGGCTTTAAGAATACCTGACACCGATTTTTAAGATGCCATAAAGATATTGGATACCAAAATAAAGTATAATTTATCACAACTTCCCTAGATGGAGAAACTTTAGATGTGCAGATCGGAATATACTTCTACAATCAATACATGCATATTTAAAAGTGATTTTGATGAGATTAACTTTATGATATTCCTCAATATAAGCTTCTCTTTATATTTGTATATGTATTTTTTCCACTAATACTAATCTATTGATATTGTAGTTTACATTGTCTTTTTTTTTAAAGAATATATAGAAAAGGTCAAGGTAATATTTGCCAATGCTCATGTTTTAATATTTTAGTTGTAGGAGATCCCGGTGTAAGATTTGAGGTAATTATGATTGGAGAACATACATTCATTGAAGTTTAAGCTTAGATTTAGAATTTTGTGAACATAGGAAATGAGCATTTATTCATTTCCCATGCCTACAAAATTCTAAATGATAATTTCTTGTTAAATTCCAATCTCTTCTATAAAATCAATACAAGTTTGTCTATTTAGCAGGGTTTAGAAAGAATGATGGCAAGCAGTGTGGAAAGAGATCAATGTTTTAAGTTATACAAAATGGCTGTGGCTTGCTGCAAACATTTCTGTGCTGTCATAGAGGTCAGATATTTGGAAGGTGGATCATTGGTTTGCAGAATAAGCACATAAGTGCTTAAAATGACTTTAAGAGCTTGAAGGGGTTATATTAATTTTTCTTAATCAAGAATGTAGACATTTAGATGTTATCATAAGGCACTTGCAGAGGCATTTGTAGAATTGCATTCATGTAATTTGGGCTGGGGGTGTTATATTAGGGCTGCATTTTAACCATATCTTTTATAAATTATCAATGTTTATGCTGCTGCTTAATGTAAGAATATTTTTCTTATGGAAATGAAAGGCATTTTTCTGGGTATTGCTCTTTTTAGTGAGATACCCTTTGCTAGCAGTCACAAGCAGCAGTGTGCATTTCCACCCTCCATCTCTGCATCTTGTTCAGAATCAGCCAGTCTCCATGGCAACCTATTAGACTGAAAGAGATGTGAGGAGCAGAATGGAAAAGAAATGAGTTAGAAACCCCAAGTGGTGGTGTGTGCCTCCAACGTCAGCTTTTAAGCCTTCTGATTGGATGGTTTTGTTAATTCCCACCCCCACGGCTTCTCTATAGAGCTTCTGTATTAGAATAACCTGGTGCAGCAGCTTCAACAGCCTCTCCCTTTTGAAGTTGCATTTTCTTTTAATTTTTAATTTCTACATTGATTCCTCTTTCTGGCAGAGGATGTTTGTCATATTGTTAGTAATCCCAGAGTTCCTTTCCAACATGGTGATCGGTAAAAGCAAGCAGGCATGGCTGTATTTCACTTGACCTCTGTGATATTCCTGTAAAACCTCTTTCGATGGTGCCTAAGGAGAACAGACTATGCAGAAATTCATTGAAGCAGACTACTACGAGCTGGACTGGTATTATGAAGAATGTACAGATGGTAATTACATAATTTTGTAATAATTCTGTTTTATACTTGTGATCTAAGCTTATCTATCACTGTAGCAGGAGAACTGAAAGAAATAGTGATATTGCAGTTGAAGTTGACAGATTTTAGCATTTCTTGGCATAAGTTTGAAAGATGCTATAGGAAATTGTAATTAGAGCTTTTGGCCAGTGGGAGTGGCAGTAGAACATTGGTACTAGACAAGTCTTTTGGGGAGAAGGAAATTGCTTCTGAAATGCTTATTGTGTATAGCTGTTAGAGCTTATACTTAAATCCGTTTGTTTTGCTGAGAAGAGTATATTTTTAGAAAACTGGCTAATCACATATTATTGTGTAAAATGGAAATAACTCTCTCTCTCTCTCTCTCTCTCTCTCTCTCTCTCTCTCTCTCTCTCTCTCTCTCTGTGTGTGTGTGTGTGTGTGTGTGTGTGAATATATAGATAGGGAGTTAACATCTCAGTTTGGGATTAAAAACTTTATTGAAGGAAATAGAGCAGTTCTAGCTAAATTATCAGAAGGCTAAATTTGAGAAGTCTATCTCTGTCACGAGCATCTCTCGAACTTTCTGTTTTCTGCCACATTGGTAATTCTGCTTTCTGGTAAAGCAGGATGTGATCACCAGTCTCATGATAAAGGAGAGTGCAAGGAGGAGTAACGAAAACTGCACCACATGTCTTGCGGGAAATTCAAATCTTCTAATTTGGCCTCAGAACAGAAACCCAAAATGAAATCAGAATTCTGAATAATATTTCCTGTCATAGCTTTATTCAATTCAAGTATTCCTCTTTATAAATAAGAGAGATGGATTTATAGGGGAGCAAAAGAGATGTAGCCATTATTATGAATTTAGTATAAAATATAAATTTTAATATCAGAATTTAGAAGGATTAGAATAAAATGGAAAATAAATACAGAAATAATACACTCTTTGAATATTCTTCTGAATTTGACACAGTGCTTATTGCATGCAAGGATAACAGTGGTGACTGACATATAATTTGGGAAATGCTTATTTAAGATAACACTTGTTTATTGTATGATTTTCTAGTTTATCAGAATGATCTATTTCTGCTTTAATTGAATGATATAGCACTTTAGGTTGGATGATCCAATGTAGAATATCAAGAAAAAGACAAGTTTCTACTTCCTTATTTAGCTTTCAGTTTCCTAAATTGATCTTCAAGAAGTTTTTAAAATTGTTAATTTTAAGCCACAGATAGAAAAATAATATTGATAGTGAAGAAATTTTAGTAGGATTGCCATATTGTTTGTGTTAATCTGATAAAGAGATCAAATGTTTACTTCTTGACTAGATTTTTCTTTAAGCAACATTTATCATTTTAATTGCTGATATGCTGGACATTTTAGATTTTTCTGATGCTTTAATACTTTGTATGCTTCTGTTTTTTCTGTACTCTTCAATACTGCTTGGCCTTCTTATGAAAGAAAATAGAATAGAATGTTAAATAAATAAAAAATCTGTCATTGTTTAGTTAGGCTAAATATTCAAAATTAGAGAGAACATCACTGATTGTATTCATTTTCTAATAAAAGAGATACACCCAGACATCATGTATTGACCATCTAACGCAGGGCTTTTCAAACTTTTCACCCATTGTACCACTTTTAGGATATGGCAATATCCGAGTACTACCAGTCGCCTAGCAAGGTGTCAAAAACATGACCAAAAAAAAAAAAGGAAAAAAATGATAAAGTACAGATAGTCCTCGACTTACAACAGTTTGCTTAGTGACTGTTCGAAGTTACAATGGCACTGAAAAAAGTCCCCCCCAAGCCACAGCCGAGCAAGACACCTGCCTGCCCGGCTGGCCTCGCTCTTCCTCCTGTCCGAGGTTTTCATTGTTGTGAACATTTCTGTTGAGAATTGGCAGCGGAGTGGGGTGGGGGGTGTTTGGTTTTTATTCCCCCCATCTGCTGGGTGGTTGCAGCAGGTTTTGGTCACTTCACATGACTCTAGGACACTGTGACCATCATAAATATGAATCAGTTGCCAAGTATCTGAATGTAAATCACAAAACCCTGGAGATGCTGCAACATTCCAGCTGATCAGCACTTCTTCTGGGCTCAGCAGAAGCACCAGGATCAGCGCCGAGCTCCAGCTGGAATCTGGCCCTGATCCTGGTGCTTCTGGTGAGCCCTGACAGCCCTGCAGCTCCAGCTATCTCTCGCACAGGCTTGTGCGGTGCTGCCACCAGTTCAGCTCATTCCCCTCTCCCGCTACCACTTTTCTAGGATGGTCGCGTACCACCTGCCATGTTCCAATGTACCACAGGTGGTACCCGTAACACTGGTTGAAAAGCCCTGCTCTATGGAATTTAGTAGCTGACACAGAGCAGTGAGGAATTGTTCCAGTCAGAGAAAGTTGTGCCATCCTGGAAATGAAAGGCAAAATAGGAAGGAAGAAAAAGTACATGAAGTCTTAACATAGTATAGTATATGGGTTGGTAGTCTTCAGCCATCTCAATTTCAGCCATATACGTACACAGCTGTCATGAAGTATGTAGCCCCTAAACCACTTGTATCTGTAAATATGTTTTATATTGGAAGTAGATTTATAATGAATAAAGTTATATAAAAGGTTATTTTAGATGAGTTACCAAAGTTTGTCTTTTCCCAAAGAGAGAGGTCTTTGATTTTTAAAACAATAGTGGTTTTTCCTAGGCTCTCCCCCACCCCCTAGGAACTCCAAAATACCATTTTGGAGTCAAATCCAAAAGCCTAATACTGATTCTAAAGTATGTATAAATATGCTGTGGATTAAAATTTTACCATTATCTATAATAAAAAAAATCTTAGTCATGTTTATAATAAAGGCATAAACCATGTTTTTAAAATAGGATCCTAGTTAACAAATCCTAGTTAACTCTGAATTTTCAGTGGGAATGTATAATGGGAAAAGGTGGTAAGGTAAGATGTTAAAGGGAAAAGAATACATATTAATTTATTACTGGGTTCCTAGGTTGAAAATTTAAAGCAAACGTTCATAGCCAATATTCTCAGCCTATGAGTAAACCTGAAATCCCCAAATTTCACATTTTCCTGGTTCCATTTGTTTCTGTCTATTAGCAACCAGTAGTATAAAGATTGCAAAATAATTTCACTGCCTCACTTCAAGGTGTAGCATTCTTTGTACCTATGTTTACTTCCTGGTATAGTTGCTATGAAACCTATAGGAAAATACCATTTTTGTTTAGAGTAGGGAGGATTATAACAATTTAAAATTTAAAAAATCTGCTTTAAAGGGACAAATTTTTTAAGCGTTCAATTTTATTATGAGAAACATTCAAAGAAAGAGGATTATAATTTGCTGCTATTTATATTATATGGATAACTAGTAATGAATAGATATTCTTATAATCTTCCTCCTCCCCTATTCTGTATTTTGCCTCTCCTTTCATGATGATCATAGCATACAGGTTACCCAGCCATACCACTTGAAGAATGTTAAACAAGAAGATTGATTTCTTCTGTATGGAAACTCATTTAGTTTGTACTGCAGATATTGGGATGTTTACCTATTTTCAAGTATTATTTTACAAGATCTTACTTAATGATGATTTTTAGTAATGTCACTGAAAGAATCCATATATCAGGATGACAGCTTTGAATCCAGTTGTAACAATGAATGTAAACACAGAAGTTATGAGAACCTTGATTTCTTGGAAGAAGGTATTTTGCCTTGTCTATTATTTTCATAAGAATGCATAAAAATCAATTGTGTGATAGTAATAACACACCATTGATAGATGTCACTGGTTTGTCATTTTAATGGTTTTGCATTGTAAATTTGAATAATATTTTCAATTTTCTTTATTTGATAACTTACTTAAAAGTTCATTCTATCAGTGAAATGTTACTTTATTCTCTTGTAAAACAGAGTTAATGTTGTCAGATTTAAGAAAAAATATATAATTTATATACATATGTTGAGTGTTAATAGGAAAAATCCCAAAACAGACCAAAACCATTGTAATAATCAGCTACTATATTCTTTATAGTTCCTTGAACTTGAGATGCAGAAGAAAAAAAGAGAAATAAGGAACTATAGAAGCATATCAGAAAGCTCCTTTTCCCTTGAGATGGTGCAAAATGAGATGGAATTTACACTCTTCTTAGAATACACTTTTTTTTTAGTAAGCTCTGATCATTTTGATGTTGTTGTTGCTTCCCAGCAAAGATATGACTTTGTAGTTGTTGGTTGTAATTCTGCTCAATGATATTCCCTTAGCAATGTTGTTTAAGTTGCCATCAGATCGTTCTAAAGAGCTAGCTACTCTTGAAAAGTTTTTGCCTATGTGACTTTGTAATTAACACTGCAAAAGGACATATAAATTCTGTAATGTATAATTGTTTCAGCAAATAACCATTCTGTGGCAGAATTGTTTCCCCAGCTAAACAAAATAATGACTTGAAAATTACTGCAAAATTAAAATAATTAAGGAACATTAAAACAAATTTCTAAAGAACTGTTATTTGTTTTTATAATAGTATATGGCATTTTAAAAAAGTTATTCCATAGTCTAATTGCTATTGTTGGAAATCAATAATTGATAAATAATATGATTTTTTTTCTGAGCACTTTTTTCAGTAAATAGTTACTTCTAACTGATGACTGATATGAGTGTTATCTTCCTTACACATTCTTGTGGATTTTTGGCACTGTTTAACGCTTTGATTGTGCTTTCAGCTCAGTTTAGAAAGATCTGAAAAATATGCTGCTGGAAGACTCTTCTAAGGATATTACATCCTGTTTCTCTTCTTCTTGTTCCCCATCTGTGAATTTCATAGCTAATGTTTTCTTCCTATATTTCTTTCAGGGTTTTGTTTTCTTTTTCTGCAGGTTAGGTTTCTCCTCTCTATGATGGCTGTCTCCCTAAATTGTGTGGATAGGCTGTTATTACTACATAAAAATTGAATCTTGGAGGTTAAATGTGTTTGTTATGTTACACAACTGACACTATATGATAAAATAG